AAAGAATTCATTCGGATTGTCGACCCTTAGAGTGGGCAGTGGCTCACTAAACACTGAGTCATATTGGGACTTTAGTAACTCACTCATTTCTTGGCTATCATCTGTGTATGTCCCATCCTGCCTAAGCAGGGGCCCAATACTGGATGTTGTTTTTCCCTTAGATTTGGCATAAGAGAAGAAGTATTTTTTTTTTCCATTTCCTTTATGGCTTTTAGTTCTTCCTATGATTCTTGTCTCCTATAACATTCCTTCAGCTTAAGTTCGATATTTGCAATTTCATTGACTAGTGCCTTCTTTTGTATTTCAGATATATTGACCCCACTCAGCAGCTCTGTGACTCTTCACCTTTGTCTGTATAGGGAAAATCTCTCTCTAGTTTACATTATCTCTTTCTTTTTCTTAAATGAATGTGTCTTGAGCAGATCTCAAGAACCACAGAATTCATTTTTTCAAGGCAAATGTTCGGACCCATGTTGTTTAGGATATCTTCCCAGCTTGTTTCATTTAGGACATGGTTTACTTGATCCCATTGTATGTTTTTGTTATTGAAATTGAATTTTGTGAAGAGACCTTCATGACTGCTCACATTTTGCTGGCCTGGAGCCCTGTGCATACATGTCTGTACCTCTACAGTGGACCCCCGCATAACGATATTAATCCGTTCCTGAGAGCTCATTGTTATGCGAAATTATCGTTATGCGAATGAATTTTCCCCATAAGAAATAATGGAAATCAAATTAATCCGTGCAAGACACCCAAAAGTATGAAAAAAAATTTTTACCATATGAAATATACATTTTCCTACACACAAAGAGAAGGATACATGCACAATAGTAGAGTAGTACATGCACAATATATATTGTGCATGTACTACTCTACTAAATGAAGAACAAATGACACTTACCTTTATTGAAGATGCAGCAATGACTGATGAGACACTGTGTCCTGGGAGTGCCTTTTCCTCGTGAGTACTGTAGGTCTTGTTTGGCATTTTCTTCCTGAACAGGCCTTATCACACTGTGTATGCCACTACGATTCTTAAATCTCTCAAACCAACCTTTGCTGGCTTTAAATTCACCAATATGAGCACTAGTTCCAGGCATTTTTCCCTGCTCACCTGGGTGTTAGTCGACTGGTGTGGGTTGCATCCTGGGAGACAAGATTAAGGACCCCAATGGAAATAAGTTACAGTCTTCGATGACACTGGCTTTTTTGGGTTATCCTGGGTGGCTAACCCTCTGGGGTTAATTGTTTCTTGGTATTCTCAATAAGCCACACCAACAATGGTGCTACAGCAGCAGCAGCAGCAGCTGACAGTGCTACAGCAGCAGCAGCAGCAGCAGCAGCAGCAGCTGACAGTGCTACAGCAGCAGCTGACAGTGCTACAGCAGCAGCAAACGGTGCTACAGCAGCAGCAGACGGTACTACAGCAGCAGCTGATGGTGGTACAGCAGCAGCAGCAGCTGATGGTGCTTCAGCAGCAGCAGCAGCTGACAGTGCTACAGCAGCAGCAGCTGACAGTGCATCAGCAGCTGACAGTGCTACAGCAGCAGCAGCAGCTAACAGTGCTACAGCAGCAGCTGACAGTGCTACAGCAGCAGCAGATGGTGCTACAGCAGCAGCAGACGGTACTACAGCAGCAGCAGCAGCTGACGGTGGTACAGCAGCAGCAGCAGCTGACGGTGCTACAGCAGTAGCAGCAGCTGACAGTGCTACAGCAGCAGCTGACAGTGCTACAACAGCAGCAGACGGTGCTACAGCAGCAGCAGACGGTACCCCTCCGCCCGTCACCGCGCACACCAAGCCAGTCTCCCACGCCATTCACACTCAGTGTGCCATTGTTTACCAACACGTGACCATCACCCCGCGGGTTCATACAATACATTTCATAATAATCCATTGTTTTTTGTGCTTGCAACTGCTAAATAAGTCATCATGGACCCAAGGAAAGCTAGTGCAAGCCCTTTGGTAAATAAAGTGAGGAACACGATCCAGAGGAATTTTGAAGGGTTTGAGGCAGACCCTGTCCCTGCCGACCCTCTGCCTGTTGTGGAAGGTGTTGTGGCATTGGGCAAGTCCATGGGGTTGGAGGTGAGTGACGGGGATGTGGCAGAGTTGGTGGAGGACCACAGGGAAGAGCTAACCACTGACGAACTGCAAGAGCTTCAACTGGAACAGCATCAGACCACAGCCGAGGAATTTGCTTCAGAGGTGGAGGAAAAGAGAGTGAAGGAGGTTCCTTCTTCATTGAGTAAGGACATGTGTGGAATGTGGAATGAGTTGCAAAGTTTTGTTGAAAAGTATCACCCTGACCAAGCTGAAACAAGCCATATCTGCAACATATACAGTGACAGTGTCGTGTCCCACTTCAGGGAAATCTTAAACGCCAGAAAAAGACCTCTCTGGACAGATATTTTGTGTGACAGGGGTCCAGTGACTCTCAAGTTGTTCCCAGTGGCATTAAAAGAAGAAGGGAAGTAACCCCAGATAAGGACTTGCTACCTAAAGTCCTAATGGAAGGAGATTCTCCTTCCAAACAATAGTGTACACCTTCCTCCTATCCCCTCCTCCCGTCTTCCATCCACCCAGAAGCCTTCAGTAAAGGTAAGTGTAATGTTATTATTATTTTTTATATGTATGTACTTGATTTCTCGTTGATTTCAGTATATAAATCTTTATTTAACCCTTTGAGGGTCCGTCCCGTAGATCTACGGCTTTACATTCAGGGTCCAAACCGTAGATCTACGTCATGAGCTCAGCTCACTCTGATAAACTGTGAGTGGTACATTTGGGCCTAGATATGACAGAATACATCTATGTGGTATGTGTGCACCACATAAAACAGATCTTGCAGCATGCTGTGTATAATGAGAGAAAAAAACTGAAATCATGATTTTTCGATTAAAACAGCGACTTTGCAGTGTTTTTTCGTATGTTTTTTATAGTTCTATTTGCGATTTCTTGGTCTCATTTGATAGAATGGAAGACATATTACAGAAATAGAATTGATTTTGATTGGTTTTAGCACTGGAAATGGCTTGAAACTGAGCTCAAAGTAGCAGAAATGTTAAATTTTTGCCGATATTCAAGAGTAAACAAACAACCTCATACGTCTAATACACGCCAACTGGTGGGTCTAATATGCATTCACAAATATGGTGATGATATTTATACAATTATTACAGTATTGCATAACAGTAACTCTTCTATTTTTTGGTGTGAATAAAAATTCATTATGTGAATAAATAATCAAAATGGAATTTATTTGTAAAGCCTCAAAAGTAACTAATGAACAGAGGAAATGTTAGTTTAGTTCCAGGAATACCTACATTGTTTATTCTGGACCCTATTTTGAAATTGGAATATTTTGAACTTTGTGCTAAATTGACCAAATTAACAATTTCAGATCACTTTAATTTGTAGTTGAAACAGTTGACTTGGCGATTTCTTGTGCTCAATCGATAGAATAGAAGTAATACTAGTGAAATAGCTAAGAATTTGGTTGACTGGAATAATGTAATTGGCCTAAAATGGGAGTCAAAGTCGGCAAAATCGCCGATTCGTAAATATCGCTAACACATCAAAATTCGCGAGAGCATAATTTCGTCAATTTTCCATCAAATTTCGTACTTTTTGTTTTATTACCTTCACAAAATGATTCTCTACCATTTCATAAGAAAAAATAACAAATTTTTGTTTTGAAAATTCTTGGACACTGGGGCACCACTTCAGATTTGGGCCTTGGACCCTGAAGGGGTTAATTTGAAAAAAATATTTTATTTTAATATTTTTGGGTGTCTGGAACGGATTAATTTTCTTTCCATTATTTCTTATGGGGAAAATGGTTTCGAGTTTCGTGAATTTCGACTTTCGGCAGGCTCTCTGGAACGGATTAATCACGAAACTTGGGGGTCCACTGTATACTAAAACTGTATGGAATTTGCTTCTGTCACATCCTCATTCATGTCATTCCACTTCCTAATTACCCTCAGACTGAAGATGTACAGTACAGGTGCTCCTCAACCTATGATGGCTCAACTTAGGATATTTCGACTTTACTATGGTGCGAAAGCAATTACTTTGGAGACAAAACTTAAAGATAATTACCCAGCATGAAGGCAGCATGTCCGTAACTTGTATTCATTTATTTACTTATGAATACTGGTATTTAGTTAGTTACAGTAATTATTTGGTTATTTACTTATTCAGTGACAGTAGTTATTTGTTTACTTATTTATTTAGCATATCATATTCATATTCGACTTACAACATTTTCAATTTATGATGGGTTCGCCGAAACGTAACCCCATCGAAAGCTGAGAAGCACCTGTACTGTACAGTGCTTTCTGACACTGACTCATTTGCCATATTAGATTCCATCTATGTCCCTTTGTCTCTATGGTAACAAGGGCTCAGAATATCTTGTATTTTGTTACCTTATTGTTCCTGGTTCTTTTTTCCTCCAGTGTTTTAAAGTTTTACTTCTTTTGTCTTTCTTTGTAGATCATTCCTCCATCTTGTGACCAGTCTGGTAACGAATTTTTCTAGTTTTCTGAACATGTTCAGTTGTGAAGGACCCATACTAGTGCTGGGCCTGAGATACATCATGTTTATGGTCCACTAGGAGTTTTTGTTGAGGTTGCTGAATGCATTAAGCTCACTAGATGCACACATAACACCACAGTTATTTGATTGATGTACACTAACAGTAATATGCTTGGTGGAATTTTGTGTTCAAAATGTGTGTAAAGTACATGTATTACAGATTGATGCTAGAAGTTTGCTGTGCTATGTGTTTGTGCAGAATAAATATTTGTGTGTGTGTGTATCTTTGTTTTACTGGCAGGTGCTTCATCTGCTGAGAGTATGAGAAGCTTGATTGTTATATATTGTAAGAATTTGATTTAATATTAAAAACATTAAATTTATCAAAGTATTATGTTGCTTTCTGAAGCACTTAAGGAAACAATACCTATTTAAACAAAATTGTATGATTTCAGATGTCAGAATTTGGGGAGATGTTGCAAAACTTGTTGCTGTTGGGAGTTACATAGCTGTTTTACAAGAACCTGAGTGCCAGGCTGCCCTTGGCAGTGGGACCAAGAAGCAAAGGGTTGCTGGAGTCTCCATCAAGGATCATTACAAAGATGTATTGTCTTCCTACCTATATGATGGAGAAGCTGATAAACAACATGTTGTGCTCTGCATTGGTATATCGGCTCTTCAACTGTTTACCCAAAATAATTTCACTGGACCACTAATTGGTCCACCACCCTGTACATTATTACCAAATTTAATACCTGAGGGACAGGAAGAAAATAAAGTCAGAGAGGAAGCATTAGAATCACTAGTAGGAGACACTGAAGGGGTTTACAACTTGTTGTATGGGCCTGAGTATCTAGCGTTGGCCCGTCTTATTCTTGTAGAACTTAGACCTTTATTGTCAACATGCTTGACAGTAGATTGGTGGTGCTTTCGTTGTTCTCTCCTGCATCAAAGGGTAGCTGATGAACGATCACCTCAGCTGTACGAGACAGTCTTACAGGCTCTAAACCAAGTAGAAAACAATCCACAGCTGGTCAATACCAGTGTATCAAGAGACCTGACTGCTCTTTATCATCTTGAGGCTGGGCATCTTCATTTATTCTTTTATGATGTTGGACGAGCTGGTGACCATTTTAAGAAAGCAGCACAAGCCCTGGAGATTGATATTGAATTATCAGGAGCACTTGGGAAAAGAACAAAGTGGCAACAGGAGGACAGACCCCAGTTGATTGTTAAGGTACATTATAAAGGACAACCATTGATGGAGAGTGAGCTCCCGGGTCGTAACCTTCTTCCGACAGACCTCCCGAAAGACATTATTCTCAACGATGATGTTCGACTCCATAAATTAAAATTCAAGGAGCAAGATGAAGATGTTATCCCTGATTTAAAGCCAATTGAGCAATCTGTAATTTTGTCCACAGTCACTCACAAGAGACGATCATCAGCAGCTGATTTGCAGCTTGATCAAGAGACAAAAGCCTACCTTGTAGCTCTCCTCCAGTACCCAAAAAACTGGTGTTTCCAGATGTCAGCATTACTTCTAAGATCTCATGTAGAGGCTACTGAAACTAGAGCAATGGAACGTTCACTGAATCAAATGGAGGAACTCTTAGCAGCTGTGAATCGAACTGAACCATCTAGATACGAAAGGCTGAAGCTCTTTTTCACTTCATCAGTACTCCCTCAGTGGGAATTACAACAAGAGCTAGCAAAGATGCTGATGCGATTAGGATGCATCAAGACTGCTCTTGAGGTGTTTGAACGTCTTCAACTTTGGGAGGATGTCATTACGTGCTACAATGAGCTGCAAATGCGTCAACGGTCCACAGAGCTAGTGAGAAGTCAGTTGGAGAAAAGAGAGACCCCAAAACTGTGGTGCCTGTTAGGTGATGCCACAGATAATATTGAATGTTATGAGAAAGCTTGGGAATTATCCAACCACAGAAGTGGAAGAGCTCAGCGAAGCTTGGGAAATTATTATTATGTGAGGAAATGCTACAGTAATGCTATTACACATTATGAAAAAAGTATTGAAATTAATAAGTTGCAGTTCCCTGTATGGCAAAGGCTTGCATATTGTGCCTTGTTGGTTGAAGACTGGGAAAAATGTGCCCATGCATATAGAAGATGTAGTGTGTTGGAGCCAGATAGCTTTGAAGTTTGGAACAATTTGAGTCAAGCATACCTGAAACTGGATCAGAAATCAAGAGCATGGAAAGCTCTCCAAGAAGCATTGCGGTGTAAGGTTGATTCATGGCGCTTATGGGATAACTTTATGCTTGTAAGTACATCTTTGGGGTATATATCACATGCTTTGAATGCTTACAATCATATTTTAACTATGAAGGAGCGTCATGTTGACACACAGATCCTTGGACGCATAGTAAAAGCTATAATAGAAAATAAGGTTCCTGAAGGACATGACATACGGGGATTATACAAAATATGCTCAAAGTTGCTTGGTCGGTTGACTAGTGAGGTACCAACGCACCCAGAATTGTGGTTTCTATATGGAATTCTTACTCAGGCCAATCCAGAGCCAAATGCCGAGACTCGTCACTTTGCCATGCAGCAGTTCAAGAAGGCTTTAGCAGCAACTACACAGAAAGCAGGATGGGAAAAGGATACTGTTGCAGTAGTAGCTGCATTGCATCGCTCTGCTTATTTAATAGATGCAGCCCTAGCAGCCACTAATGCTGTCCCTGTCAAGGTAGCTGTAACGGATCTCAATTCTGTAAGAATATCTGTTCGTGGGACTATTGTGGGAACTCAACGAGGTCAAGTGAGTATAGCCACTGGTTATGTTTTGGAAGACGTACAAGAGCCACTCAAGACAGTAGAAGAGAAATTGGCTGTATTGTTACAAAAGCTGGAAGAACTTAAATTGCAGACCTGATTTGAAAGTCTGAACTAGTAGACTAAATATTTTATATTAACTTAAGGGGCTCAGGCAGAGCAATCCCAATGTCCAGAATTTCTTTTTTATCACTTTTTGGAAAATAAAACTGAAAGAAGTCCTTGCTGTTTGACAATACCAATATTTCAGAATATTTGCATGAAAAATAAAAAAAAAATATGTTTTAAAACATATGGTAAGCATGGACCCTTAAATGGCTGTACAGAGTTATTTAAAAAAAAAATAACTGTGTTGTAAATGCTGCAGCAAGGAGGAGGCTGGAGGCGGTGGAGATGTCATGTCTAAGGGCAGTGTGCAATGTAAATATTATTCTGAGAATTCATAGTGTGGAAATTAGGAGATGTGAAGTTACTAAAAGTATTAGAGGGCTGAAGAGGGATTGTTGAGGTGGTTTGGTCATTTAGAGAGGATGGAACAAAGTAGAATGACTTGGAGAGTGTATAAATCTGTAGAGAAAGGAAGGCAGGATAGGGGTCAGCCTAGGAAAAGTTGGAGGGGGAGGGGCTTGGACTTACAGCAAGCATGTGTGAGCTTGTTAGATAGGAGTGAATGGAGACGAATGGCTTTTGGGACCTGACAAGCTGTTGGAGTGTGACCAGAGTAATATTTTGTGAAGGGATTCAGGGAAACCAGTTAGCCGGACTTGAGTCCTGGAGGTGGGAAGCACAATGCCTGCACTTTAAAGGAGGGGTTTGGGATATTGGCTGTTTGGAGTGACGTCTAAACTGTCATATCTGAGCACTTCTACAAAGATAGTGATTATGTATGAATGATGGTAAAAGTGTTGAATGATGAAAGTTTTTTCTTTCTTTTTGGGTTTTTCTTTCTTTTTGGATCACCCTGCCTTGGTGGGAAACGGCTGACATGTTAAAAAAAAAAAAAAAACTCTGACAGCGCACTATTACAAAGTAGATCATCAGTTATGCAATGATTAGCTATTTGACATACAACATTGGGTAAGAGCTAGTTTAAAATGCCAACAGTTGTGAAACGACACATTCATTGTTAGGATATATTTTTTGAGGAAATGTTTTTCCATTTGTGTGGCAGTGCATTTCCTCACTAAAATTTCTTAACACTGGATTTAAAACATTATCTGGTAGTTTTATTCAGTCCAGCACTGAAATGATATTGCAAAGAATGAAAGTGCAACAACAAAGGATCATAAAGATAAATATGTAATCATCTGTGTTGTTAAAAACCAGATGCACACTACCCTGAGGTGCTAAATATGCAATGATTTCGTGTGCTATAATGTCAAATATATATGTTATAATTAAGTTGTCATTGATGTGCAAGAAATTTTTTTCTTAGTAAAGCAGGTTATTTTAATCCAAAAATATTAAGGTAGGTAAAAGTCCCTATGAAGAGAAATTATTGGTTTACTGGAAATCTTGAACTGAAAGTACTGACACTGATGCAATACAGCTTACATTCATGTGTTAAATTTGTACATTTAGTTTGATAAAGAAGAGCAGTGATCCAAAAGTTAATAACACTGTAAAAGATTAAGTCGTTATGTGGCAGTGTCAGGTGCTCAGTAATGTGCTCTTGATGATGTATCTTGTTTTTTATTTATAAATCACATTCTTAGCTTTTATTGCAATTGTATTACATTGCATTGCTTATTAATATATTTTTAAACATTACACCTAATAATGCTCATTAAAAATTAACCATTCTGTAAATAACATGTAATGGTTAATTACCATACTACAAATCTTCAGTTTTATAATTATTGATAATAATTATATACAGGAAGGTGGGAAGTACAATACCTGTACTTTAAAGGAGGGTTTTGGGATATTGGCTGTTTGGAGTGACATCTAAACTGTAGTACAGTGGACCCCCGCATAACGATCACCTCCGAATGCGACCAATTATGTAAGTGTATTTATGTAAATGCGTTTGTACGTGTATGTTTGGGGATCTGAAATGGACTGATCTACTTCACAATATTCCTTATGGGAACAAATTCGGTCAGTATTGGCACCTGAACGTACTTCTAGAGTGAAAAAATATCGTTAACCGGGGGTCCACTGTACCTGGGCACCTTTGCAGAGACAGTGATTACATGTGAATGATGATGAAAGTGTTTATTTTTTAGGGTCACCCTGCCTTGGTGGGAGACGACCATGTTGAAAAAAAGAAATTATAGGAGTGTGCAAAAGTATCAGCATTGATGGGTGTAGGCTAAAATTGATAGTACAATGGAACCTTGTTTGTCGAATGGACTAGTTGTTGAATAAATCAGTTTTTGAATCAATTTGTTCAGTTTGGTTTTCATACGTGGTCTTGGTTATTGACTATTCCTTTAGCTCTCCTCTGACAGGTAAGAGGCAGTTAAATTTTCATTTACTGTACAGTATTTCAGTTAAAGTTTCTTTTAGTATTCATTGTTACAATTTTATATAGTAGTATATTATTGTACCCACGGAACAAGTGGTAATGATCAATAACAACACTGCACTAGCTAAGGAGTCGAACCCATGCTGTTTTGGCCCGCCTCATGGTGAGAGAAAACGCATGGCGCTTTAGACCACTAGACCCCACAATCTAGTCTGGTCTAATGGTCGAAAGCGTCATGCGTTTTCTCTCACCATGAGGCGGGCCGAAACAGCATGAGTTCAACTCCTTGGCTAGTGTAGTGTTGTTATTGATATAGCAGTATATTTTTAATAAATCATTGTACATGTTGTATTGTCATGGGGTCTGGAATGGATTAATTCTGTTTACATTATTCTTTATGGAAAAAATTGGTTTGGTTGTTGAACCGACATCTGGAGTGAATTAAGTTTGACAGCTGAGGTTCCACTGTATCAGTATGACAGAAATTTGGTATCCCCATCACTAATTTGTTTCAGCTGTGGGTGTGTGTACATACTTGTGCAAGCTCACTTTTATGTATTTCCCAACATGTGGTTGCAGGGTCAAATCCTAATTCCTGGCCCTGTCCCTCAACTTGCCACCTGCCAGATTCACTCCCTTCTAGTCTATGGACTCTGTCATACCTGTTCTTAAAATGTTGTATGGAGCCTGTCTCCACCACTTCTTCATTGAGATCATTCTACTTCCTGATACTCCAAGATTTAGCTGCTAATGTGTGTCTTTAACTTCCAGCTGAGTCATTGAGTTCATGTTTCATGCCCCTTTAAAAGCTTAACCCTGTCTACCCTATCAGTTCCTCGTACTATTTTGTGTGTTGTTATCCTCTCTTTCCGGGTTCATCTGTTCTTCACTGTTGTTAGATTCAGTTGCTTTAGCCTCTTCTTTTAGCTCATGTCCCTTAGCTCATGTCCCCAAGCCTGTTCCACAGCTAAGGGACAAGTTTCTTAACATGCTTTATTTTCAGGTGTGGGTTCCATACTGGGAATGCATACTTAAGATGGTCCTGACATATATTGTGTAGAGGACATGGAATGACTCTTTGTTGAGATTCCTGAAGGCTACTCTTAGATTTGCCAGGCGAGCATTGGATGCTGACATTATTCAGTTGATGTGTACTTCTAGTGATATGCTAGGCACTGTGCTTACCCCCGTGGTTTTTCTTTTTGAGTGAGGTCTGCAATCTCTGTCCCCTTAGTCTATGCTCTCTGTATCTTCTAGTCCCTTCCCAATCTTCTTGGTCTTCCACTTTGCTGGTGTTAAGTTCAAACAATACTTAACTTTTTTTTACGGGGTAAATATTTGGCAAGCAATGTGGAATTTGCTAAGGTAAGTGATTAGTGATATCCATAAACAGTGGGTTAACCCTTTCAGGGCCAGTCCCGTATATGTACGGCTTGATAGCCGGTGTCAGTCCCGTTTTTATACGCCATAATTCTAGCACCTTCAAATCTGGTGGAAGAAAGCTGGTAGGCCTACACATGAAAGAATGGGTCTGCATTCTCGGTGTGCACAGTTTAAAAAAAATCCTGCAGCACGCAGTGCATAATGAGAAAAAAATTCCGATGGTGGTTTTGGTTTAAAACAACGACTTTGCAGTGTATTTTCATGTGGTATTTATGGTTGTATTCTCGTTTTCTTGGTCTCATTTGATAGAATGGGAAATACATTACAGAAATAGAGATGATTTTGATTGTTTTCACGATGAAAAGTACCTCAAAATTGAGCTCAAAGTAGCGAATATGTTCAACTTTTGCCGATGTTCAAAAGAAAAACAAATCATGCCATGTGTCCAGTACACATCAACTGGTGAATCTAATATTCTTTCAAAAGTGCACTGATATTATTTATACCATTTTTACAATAATGCAGTAGTCTGCATAACAGTTAATCTATTTTTTGTAAGAATAAAATTCAAAATGGAAAGCAAGAGTAATATAAGAGGGGCCTGAGACATGAATAATGAATAGAGAAAATGTTATTTTAGTGCCAGAAATGTCTGTCTTGTTTATTCTGGACCCTATTTTGAAATTGGCATCTTTTGAAATTTGGTTGAAATTGGCCAAATTGCTAATTTCTGACCACTTTATTGGGTAGTTGAAATCGGTAAATGGGCAGTTTCTTGTACTCAATTGATAGAACAAATGGAGTTCTAGCGAAATAGCTATGATTTTAGTCGACTAGATCATTGGAATTGGCCGAAAATAGGGCTCAGAGTGGGTGAAATCGCTAACTTCGCGAGAACGTAATTTCTTAAGTTTTCCATCAAATTTCATATTTTTGGTATCATTACCATCAGGTAAAGATTCTCTATCATTTCAAAAGAAAAAAAAATTTTTTTTTTTTTTTGACCCTGAGAGTGAGTTAAGGATCAGGGGTCTCGACCCTCAAAGAGTTAATATTCCCACCTACCAAGGAGTTCAGTGGACAGTGACACTAAGCACATTAACCCTTTGACTGTCGCAACCCCAAATCCTGAAGTGTCTCCTGGTGTTGCAAAATATTTGGAAAAAAAAAATTATTTTTCCTATGAAATGACAGAGAATCTTTTCCCGATGATAATGACACCAAAAGTATGAAATTTGATGGAAAACTTACAGAATTATGCTCTTGCGAAGTTGGTGACCTTGGCAACATTTACGCATTGGCGATTTTGTCCAATTTGAGCCCTATTTTCAGCCAATTCCATTATTCCAGTCCACCAAACTCATAGCTATTTCTTTAGAACTCCATTTGTTCTATCAATTGAGTACAAGAAACCACCCATTTACCAATTTCAATTACCCAATAAAGTGGTCAAAATCTGGTATTTTGGCCAATTTCATGCAAATTAAAAAAGTCAGTTTCAAAATAGGGTCCAGAATGAACAATGCAGACATTCCTGGCACTAAAATAACATTTTCTCTGTTCATCAGTCACGTCTCCAGGCCCCTGCTAGAATATTCTTGCTTTCTATTTTGAATTTTTATTCACACAAAAAATAGAAGATTTACTGTTATGCAGACTACTACAATATTGTAATAATTGTATAAATAATGTCAACCCATTCGTGACTGCATATTAGAATAGCTAGTTGGACATTTGTTGGACAATGACATCATTTGTTTACTGTTGAACAACGGCAAAAATTGAACATTTCTGCCAATTTGAGCTCCATTTCAAGATCCTTTTCATAGAAAAACCAATCAAAATCACTTCTATTTCTATAATATGTTTTCCATTCTATCAAGTGAGACCGAGAAAACAAGAATACAACCATAAATACTATACAAAAATACACCTCAAAGTCAACATTTTAATCCAAAAACACGGTTGGAGTTTTTTTTTTCTAATTTTGCACTGTGTGCTGCAGGATTTTTTTTATACTGCACACACTGACCACACAGACCCATTTTCTCACATGTGGGCCTACCAGCTTTCTCCTACTTGATTTGAAGCCTCTAGAATTTTTGAGGAGGAGAGAGAGGTACATGATAATATATACCTGGAAGGTACTCGAGGGCTTGGTCCCAAATCTGCACACTGCTATAACAACATACTGGAGTGAGAGATATGGGAGGAAGTGTAAAATAAACCCAGTGAGGAGCAGGGGTTCAGTGGGGACAATAAGGGAACACTGTATCAACATCTGGGGTCCCAGACTTTTCAACATCTTGCCAGAAGATATCAGAAACACTGCTGGAACAAGTGTTGAAGCCTTCAAGAGGAAACTAGACAAGTATCTTCACCAGGTGCCAGATCAACCAGGCTGTGATGGATATGTGGGGCAGCGGGCCTCCAGCAGCAACAGCCTGGTTGACCAGGCGAGCACCAGACGAGCCTGGCCCATGGCCGGGCTCAGAGAGTAGATATACTCTTGAAATTCTTCAAAGGTAAAGGTATATACGTCAAAAACATTGGCTCGTAAGATGTATATATACGACCAAAACAGTCAAAGGGTTAACAGACCCAGAGTAAGTTGAGAGGTATTGTATATGCAATACCTCTCAAACCACAGCTCCAAGGGCAATATCAACTTAAAGATCAGGAATGAGGCTTATATAATACAAATATAATACAGGTTAATCCTTAAGTTGCTGAGTGCCCATCGTCTGTCAAGCGTCATGACAAACGTCTGCCTGTGCAGCTGTTTTGCATTATTATTTCAGCAGCCGATAAATTCAGGATCTCATAAGCATAACAGGATTTGTACTTAGTTAAGTTCAATTTTATACAATGGAACCTCAGTTGTCGAATGCCTTACTTGTTTACTTGTCGAACAATTTGATTTTTCGAATATGAGGAATTCAAGAAATGTATGTCAAGGTTTTCATACATGCTCTTATTGTTGACAGACAATGCTCCCAGGGTCGAAGAATTAAAAAAATGAGACCAAAAGTATGAAATTTGATAGAAAACTTATGGAATTACACTATCTCGAAGCTAGAGGTCTCAGCGATATTTACACATTGGAGAATCCACCTACTTTAAGCCATATTTTGGGCCATACTCATGGCTATTTTGCTAGAACTCCTTTTCTATCGATTGAGTACAAGAAACCGCCCATTTATTTCAGCTACCCAATAAAGTGATCTGAAATTACTAATTTGGCCAATTTCACACAAAATTCAAGAAAGGCCAGTTTCAAAATAGGGTCCAGAATAAACAATGCAGATATTCCTGACACTAAAATAACATTTTCTCTATTATTAGTCATGTCTCCAGGCTGCTCTTATATTATGCTTGCTTTTCATTTTTAATTTTTATTCACAAAAAAATAGAAGACTTACTGTTATTCAGACTACTGCATAATTTTAAATAGTATAAATAATATCAGCGCATTTGTGAATGCACATTAGATCCACCAGTTGACGTGTATTAGACGTGTGGTGTGATCTGTTTTCGCTCGAACATTTCCGCTACTTTGAGCTCAATTTCAAGCTTACTATTTCTGTAATATATCTTCCATTCTATCAAATGAGACCAAGAAAATGAGAATACAACCATAAATACCATACAGAAATACACATTTAAACCAAAAACATGGTTGCAGTTTTCTCATGCACTGCATGCTGCAGGATTTTTTTTTTTATGCTGCACGCACTAACCATGCAGACCCATTTTCTCACATGTAGGCCTACCAGCTTTCTCCCGTAAGATTTGAAGCCATTAGAATTTTGCCATTAGCTCTCCCCTGACAGGTAAGAGGCAGTTAAATTTTCATTAATTGTACAGTATTTCAGTTAAATTTTCATTTAGTATTTATTTTTAGTTTCCCTGTGCTGTATAATTTTATACATTGCTTTATATAGTAGTTAGTATATTGTTATTAATAAATTATTTTATTGTTATTTGGGGTCTGGAACATATTAATTCTGTTTACATTATTCTTCATGAGAAAAATGGCTTTGGTTGTCGTCCATTTTGGTTCTCGAAGCAGCATCCGAGTTAAATTCGACAACCGAAGTTCCACCCAGTAGTGATGAGATAGATAAATGTGTATTACTACTGTAATCATTTTTGGGTGGGATAAGTTTTAATATTTCACAATGCGACTGCCAAACTTTAAATTATCAGAACATATTGTTAACCTAAAAACAATTGGGCCAGACCATTTAGAATAAATGAAGTGCAACTGAAAAATATTTATGGGGATTCGGTAAGGCTATAGGAGTCATATAGCACTTGGAAAAAGCAAATTGGAGGCAGTCAAGTCTGATTCAAAGAGGTGCAAAGTTACTCCCATTCACTGGGTCAAAAGCCCTCTACTGGCATCAAGGCACCTCCTTTGAAGGACAACTTCCATAGTAAAGCACAGGGATAAATTTAGTTGTGAAAATAATTTTTTTTCAGTGGATCACCTTAATGTATCATTATCATTTACATGTTATAGGAAGTAATGTTGCAGGTAAAAAAAAAATTGTTTGCACACTTGAATACCTTTTATTTGTCCCATTACAAGAGAAAATATTTCACTACACTTAATCACCCTGATTTTAAATAAGTACATTGGTTAAACAAGGTATACAGTGTACTGGATTGTAATTTACAGCTCTGTTCTCTATTTAGGTCCAGATAATGCAGTACTGTGCATTCAATTTTTCATATTAGAGTATGAACTTTAAAAGAAATTCAATTTAGCAATGGCTTTATATTTTACTTAACTTTTACAGCAAAAGCAATAACTTAAAATATTATGTGGAAAATCATGAAAGCATTACAAAAAAATTTTCTTAAAAATATTATGTGGAAAATTATGAAAGGATTACAAAATTTTTTTCTGGACTTTTGATTCTAAAGGGATATATGTACCCCCTTCCCTCCCAAACCTTGCTTATTGCTTGTTAGTAACTATTAGCAGCATAACACAATGAAGCATTCAAGCAAAGATGATTAATCGGCATAAGCCAACTGGGAACACCTGAAGATGCACCTTTTTCCCAAAGGTAAAATAGGAAATTCAAGTTATACACATTTTTGATATGTTAAAATTTTGTCTGGACTACACATGCAACCTAACCTTGCTTAAATTTACATAATAAAATATAGCATAATTCATCTATCAAGGAATTTGCTTATCTGTAGTTAATTAAGTTTATTTTTTTTTTGTGTGTGTGTGTGATGAGGAGGGCTAATATTCAGGTGACCAATGCTTTACTTCACTCATTATATGCAACTTAAAATTCTTTTAGACTAGACCAAAGCAAAAGCATGAAAAGATATCTGGAAACCATTATAGTTTTATTTTATGAATAAACAATGTAGCCAAGAGATGGCACACCTTAAATTAAGGTGTGTTGTAGTTGATACAGGCATGCCTGACTCACGAAATCATAATGATAATGAAATGAGAGATCATTAGATCCTAAAGAAGCAAATGCAGTACAGATAATATGTTACATATTAGTGTAAAGGAAAGGATTAATGATTTGTTAGTGCATGTATAGGGTTTATCCCTTTATACATCTATTAAGCAGGTTTTACTAGTTCCAAATTATGCTCACCTATGATATCTGTGCTGATAATCTCAGGTTTAGCACTTAGTCCATATTATCTAAATGAACCTTACAGGTTAGTGCATTTCTATAATAAATCCAATCATTAAAGGTTGCTAGTAAACTAAATCAATTTTGAGGTGGAAATTAATCTCCCATCAGATTTTTGTCTAATTTTTAGAATTAGGCACCAGTATTATTATGAGTGATAAAATAAATCAAAGTTAGTCAGTAATTTTAGCGTATGAGTATTATAGGAGTCTTATGGCTTAGCGCTTCTTTTTGATTATAATAATAATAATAAATAATAATAGGAGTCTTACACACACCAGATAAAATTAGTAACCGGTGAGATAATAGTTTTGAGCCAAAGAGCATCAAATCAAGATTAGCAAGGCAAAAAGGAACAAAAATGAGGTGAACGGAAACAAACCACAAATACTTGACTTTCAGTAATGAATAAAATAACATGGAAGGAAGATCAGTAATTAATGAATTTATTTCAAGACAACATAAATACAATATAAAAATCTGAAACCCCAAAGTATGCACAGCATTATTATTATAATCAAAAAGAAGCGCTAAGCCACAAGGACTATACAGAGTATGCACAGCATTTTAAGCAAATTTAGATTAGTATTAAGACTACTTACTGCTAAAAGATTATGTAACTTCTTATGGGTCTAATATGATGTATTATCAGGAAGTTCAAAAATGGTAGTTAAGGTATAAATTACAATTATTATTGATAAGATGGAGAAGGTTGACCGGTAGCTATATAACCTATTAGTTTAGTGCTCTTCCCCCATGACTTATATTAAATATGCCTCACATCAGTTATCATTTTCATATCCTAAATAATTTTTATAATAATACATATCTTGACATTCGTGTCAACCCAGTCTTAATTTTAATTCATGTCATGTATGCTACCAAGATAGTTCTTTAAAGACTATTATTAAGAATAATTAGTCATAGACACCCAAGCTGAATGATGATCATTTTTTAAGTAGTCATAATGACAAGTGCTACAGTAAATAGACAATACAGTAGTGGTCTTTTGGTATAATGATTCACATGCAAGTAGGTTTTATCTGACCCACACATGAGTGAAATGTACCAACAAAGACTTCACTGCATTGTTAATTTACTACTCCCTTCCCCTAAGTTTATATTCCTAGCTATTAGACCCTTTTGGGTTTAGTGCTTAATTTGATTATGTTATTATTATTATTAGCTATTTCATATGCAACCTTACAATACCCTTTAAGCAGTTTAGTCCTAGTTTAATTCTAACCAAAATGCTGAATATAAATATGGGCTTTAAAAAAAAAAAAATTATATTTACACTGCTAATCCAACATCATTTTTTCCGTTTATATGTACTTTATAAAATGCTTTCATTATTCTTGGTATAGCCCAAAACAATATGCAGGATAACAGAAGTTCCTCTGTAACTCGTAACTCGCCAAACAGTACATAATCATTAGTGTTAAGTTAAAGGAAAAAATGGTAAACCCAAGTTTTTGAACCAGGTCAGCATGGTAGAAGAATGGCTATGTTGTGGGTCATTCATAGTAGAAGGAAAGAAGTACGTATAGGGTTGAGAGAAGCACAAAGGTAAAGTTGTAATTAATACAATAAATTAGTGCTAATTAACCCGTAAACGGTCCAAACATATATATATACGTTTTTACCGCTAATGCCCCAAACGTATATGTACGTTTTATTTGTCATACATTCAACATTGCCACGATAAACCTGAGTCGCCTAGACATGAGAGAATGGGTGTGCGCACTCACTGTGCGCCATATTAAAATAATTGGGGATGCCTGGGTACCATATGCTCTTTTTTCCTATTAAAAAAAAAAATTTTTCTCAAAAAAAGTTGGGGCACTACGGGAGAGAATGTATATATACGTTTGGACCATTTACGGGTTAAAAATTTAAAAAGGAGAGTAGAGAGAATAAGCATAGCAGGGCAAATTAGAAGTTAAAAGGAATTTACCATGCTCTCTGACCATGTGTGAATCTGGTGAGAACACTGTGCATTCAAAAAAGTAATGTTCTTCACATTCCATGAGGGATGTCTTCCAGAAGACCATAGTAGGTCCTTGTTTGAAGGGAAAACTATGATGCAATCTGGGCCCCCATGGCCCTTATACGTAGACATAATATGATGCAACCTCACAGTTCTGGGAGCCTGACTTGCCCATAACACAATACCATACAGGACTCTTAGATCACCAATAACATCATAACAAGGATATTTAGCAGTTATGAAGCTTAGCTCCTATATAGTAAGGCTCATGAATCACAAAAATGTATAATACTGTTACCCACAGCTGATAGCAGTTTACTGACTTCCAACATGGACCAACAATACTATGCACAGATAATCAAAAGACTTTTGTAGGGAAGCTGCTGCTGTACTCTGTTGGATTATGATGATGCATTTCCTTCAGGCATGTAAAAAGATGTATATATACCTTCTTTACACCAGGTAATATATGTCAATGAATTCTAACATTAAAGGCCAATAATAAAAATTTAATATATTCAACACAAAAATATTAAGAGTTGCAGCAATTTTACAAAACAGAAGGAAGAAAAGTTGACAAAATGCATATAACATTAAACCAGTCAGCTTACATATAATTTATATTTTTAAAACCTAACACTATCTGGACTCGGTTATTCCTATTATTTGCAGTCAAATGCTCAACAAAAAATATATGTATGTTTATATGTTCCTAACTTTAAAATAGATCTATCATACACAATTTTTCAATTTTTATTGCTCATTAACTGTACAATTGTAATAGGCAGTAAATTATTTCTTTCACAACTGTTGTCATACAGCAGCAAAAATTAAGCAAACTATGTATAGTCCTCTGAATATGCTTTATAGGTTCAATATTATTTACCTCAAGTAAAAATATCAAGGAAATATTTATCTTTTCACCCTCACACAATAGGGTAAGACTTAACAATATACTATGAATGACAAAATTATCTTACTGAAGCAACTGCAAAGTCCATTGCTTGATGGATAAATATCAGGCAATGTACCACATGCTTTGAGTGAAATCATTTTTATGCAACTACTTTTTATCTAATACTGAACACTGGAAGTGAGATTCACCAAATCATGAATATTTTTTTTAAACCCTAATGCATTAAGCTTCACTCAGTATGGTCGATAAAAGAAATTATCTACTATAATTGCACCGATCACGTCAGCACTGATGCTACACTTGAGAATAACAAGGCAGATCTATTTTTTTTTGTTTCTGCACTTAAAAATTATATATATATATATGTACATAATATACACAGCAGGCATACACTAAATTAAGACTACCCATATGAAATTGTGGGATCTGCTATATAACAATAATCTGTTGGAAATAACATAATTAACAATACTGAACTTTATCTAAATCAGAGGCATTTGAACTATGATCCATAATATAAATTAATGCAGATTGTTAAAATGGTAACAAAGAATTTTTAGTTAACATTAAGAGTCGAGAGGTATTTTTCAGCATAATCACAGCATCCATGAGCCAGCAATGAGACCACTCACACACTACAAAATCTAACATTTTGGAAGTGGAGGGGTTCAGATGCTATCATTATGTTCAATAAGTTCAACTATATACGTATATACCTAACTACATATACTGTAGTATGTATTAATATATTAACAAAAACGTGTCAAGCCCTTAAGGTTCATACAGTACTCGTATAATGTACTGCAGATGTCACTGCCTGCAGAAACAAAAGTAACCAGTTTAGTACAATACTCTGACTAAGATTCCTGGAAGTTCTCACACGGTCAACAATGAATTGCCTTTAAGTGGCAATCACAAAGGCTGGATTTCTACATCAGTATGCCTCTGTTTAAGATGAAAGTTTTTGGGTATAAAATAAATGCTCTGAGTGTGTTATTAGGAATGCCCTGGTTTAAGATAAAAATGTATAAAAAAAATTATAAATTAAGCCAGATAATTTATCATTAGGTAGCAGTTTGAGAAGCTAAGTAAATCAAACACCTATTTTAGATTACTATTTGATACAAACAGGCTACACCTTATGTATAATACATTACCTGTATTAGTAATGTCCACAATATACACAAATGATAACATTTTTATAAATTATGGTGAGACTAGATTGAATGTTCATATCAATAGACAGTAACTAGAAATGCTAATATAACACAGGTATCTTTGACTTGATAAGATATCCAGTTTTACAGACTCCTGAACCCTCACTGGGCAAAAATTATCAAACTGAAAATTATAGCCTAGGTCTGCTTAAGACAATCTTAGCATAGCAATTGTAAGTTGGCCCTAGGGTGTTGCCTGCAAAATAATATGCATAGACACTTGTATACCTCATACACTCCAGCATATTTCACTGGGAAATCACTATACTACAAAATGGACTTCAGTGCTCAGCACTGACTCTCAACAATGTACATCTATACTCAGATGCATACAGACATAATTGGATATATTAAATATTTACACATAGAAGAAGCAAAATACTCCATCTATGTGATGCCCTATACTATGACCAACAATATGTTTCAAAATATATGGAATTTCTTTGATATAGCATTACATAACATTAGTTACCTGTATACATTAGTTGTGTGAGGAATAGCTGTGTAGGTGCCATGAGTCACGTAATCTTTATGGAAGACGTGCAGAGGCTCCTCCAAAAACCTCAACTAAACAGTTTCCATGACTCGCCAGCAGATACTTCTATAATTCCCAAGCATCACACTAATATACATAATTAATTTTTAAAAAATTAATACTTTATTCTACCAGTCATTCAGTTAAACCTTGGGTATTTATCAAAGTACATCAGTTGATGTTGATACTCAGTACTTTCCTCCTTATCATGATTTTTGTGCTTAAATGTTTATTGATTAATAAATGGATTACTTTATAAAATAAAAAGATGAGTATCTTAAAAACTTGAGGAATACCACTTGACTGTCTTTCTTGTGCAGGATGATATGATTGCTTCTCAATTGTTACCCACACAATTAATTCCACATCTCTTATATCTACTGTATGTTAAATTTCTAACAATTTTATTGTACCATGAAATTGAGCAAATATCATTTATTAAGAAGCTTTAATCCTGATTATATGAACAAAACATTCTCACTGAAAAGCTAACACATGTCAGTCCTCACACTTTTCCTTTAAATTATGTAAATTAAATTATGCTTGTACATTTAAGTGTACAAAAAAGCTCATTACCGAGGTATATGCTGAGAGGTATTCCGGAGGGATTTTTCCTACATATCTTAAAAAAAAGTGATTTTTCATATACGATTATGCAATTAATCTAATACACCAGTACAGTACTGTATAAGAGCTACAGAAACTACATAATGCAAGTTTCATGATCCAGGAAAATATGGAAATCCTGCTAGTAGATATGTGTACACTTTAAAACTCAAAAGTTACATTATGTACACTTAAAGAACATTAGCAGACGGTTTGTACCCTGCCCACAAGTAAAACAAGATAGGAGTCATTGGGCCTTGTGGAGATAATTTACAAAATATGAAGCTCACAGTATGAAATGAGGCTGGTGATACCCACTAGCCAGTTATTTCAGCATCTTCAGGTAATTTGTCGCTTGTTATTATGGGTAATCTTTGCTTAACAACAATTCAATAAAGGATATTCAATATACAGTACAATAACTGAAATATTAAAAAACACATGCTATAAAAATTTGGATTCAACATACAACACAAAGAAACGAACTGGCACATGCCTCACACTCAGTGATGCTCACATGCTAGGAGATGGTAGCACAAAACTACTTTCATGGTAAATGTTTGTTTTGAAACACCAAGGCATACTTCATGGCTTGTACAAGTCCTCACATAGTGCAATTTTTACTCGCCCAGTAAATCAACTGAGCAAATTTTTTAGAAGTTTGTTGATTTTAATTTTGAGCCAAAAGCACTTAAGCTGAAAATTAATGGTACCATATTTTCCTTATATAATACTCTAGTAGTGTTAATATTGAAATTACATTAAAAGAACTTTATCAAAGAAGTGTGAATGCTAAGAGGAAGATCACAACATTTTGCTTCTGGCCAAGAATCCAAGCATCGTTGGTGAATGTTCCTTTTACTTTTAATATTTCTTTTTAAACTAAACTTGTTATTTGTACATATACATACAGATGGTGCATGTGCTGTTCTTCCATCATTTATTTGGCAGAAATCCCCAAAGTATATATAGGTACAGTATATATATCTGTAAAAAATTTTCTCATCACTCGTCTCCAATTACAGTACAGTATAGTACTGTACATAATGGGAGTCAATGAGAAACCTATATTCCGAGTCATGAAACTGCAATAACAAGATTGCAAACAAACCATGGAATAGGTAGGGTTCAAACCCCACCTGTTCCATGGCCTATATTCTGATATATGACACTTTGATATGCAACAGGATTTCATGTAATGCATGTGTCATTAAGTGAGGATTACCTACCATATATACTAGAGTATAGTCCAACTTTGTGTACAAGTCAACCCTTGACGTTTTTTTTTTTTTTTTTGTTTTTGCAAAAAAATCCTTAATTTTTCATATATCTCGTGGATGGTTCAACCCTAGTTTTTAACGGACAGTAGAACATTTTAAAATTAAAGTACTGTACTGGGTGTTAGCAGTATGTTGTTCTGTACAAAAATCTCCAAGTCTAGTGTTTTCTCTTATAAACTTTATCCTAAGAAATATATAGAGAAAGGCTAACAAAGAGAAAAAAAAAATTCTCTACTTGAGCTAATATTATGGTGACTCACTACAGTGAGGTCAGGTGAGCAACACAGCTACAAAGACTAAGGTAATATTTCAGTCTAATAAAAATACAGCAGCACTTTGAAAGGTCTACTGACTAGTGCTAGGTAGACCCTATGGAACAGATTCAAATGCAACACTTAAGACATTATATTTTTCACCCACAGGGGGCTTTATCAATTGCCTCTAGTGGGTAAGTGCTGCATGTGTCTTTATTCTACAGTTGGTCAGTACTGTTATAACTGGTACTTGTATTAGGAAGGCTCTGCTCACCTCAAATACTCACACTCATTGACCATTCCCACTCGTGTAGTTGTCAGTGTTTTCTTCTGTGGGTAATTCTGCATTAGTGAAAAATGACCACTGAATTAAAAAAAATTACAGTTGTGTAGTAGTAGTAGAAGTGCTGAATCACATTTCAACGGGATGAAGTAGCCAAAGCTAACTTAACTGTTCTAATTACATGTTCCTCAAATTGTGGTCTCGTGCAGTACCATAACTGGTTATCTCTGTATTTATGATTTTCATATGTTTAGCTCTGGCATTCAGAATTTTGCTGTGTAGTGAATATAGAAATAAAGTGATTGCAAATAAGGTCCTGAACATGTCTACCTAAAATAGAACTCAAAACAATGAATTCAAATTAGATAAATTAAAAATTAAAAAATGATATAGGAAAGGACTGGTTTGGCAACAGAGTTGTACAAGAATAAAACAAACTGCAAATTTTTGACAGATGCACAAGTGGAAATGGTTGGGCAAGAGTTGGACCTGCCTTGCATTGGCCAGTAGGCCTAGTGCAGTGCTCTTCAATTACTGCCAAACCAGTATATTGGAATCTATATTCTGGTTTGGCAGTAGATATAGACGAGTGGAGTGTGACTGTGGGCAGGACCTCCCTACCATGGCCAGCAAACCTACTGCAAAACTACTTGATTCTTAATAATAATGGTAGAATTATCATCAAAATGTTAGGTAAACACACACATGTGCAACTAATGAAACATTAGCTGCAGCTATGTCCATTTACCTAATACTTGATTTTTGTGTGCAATACAGGGATTGCACTTCATAGATTTCAAGCCTTCAGAAATATTACCCATGAATAAGTAAACTCCTCACTTTTTTGGCCAAAAAAATCAGCCATAGAACCTTGACCTATACTCAAGTATATATAGTATATACTGTTGTATTAAGGTTTCCACAGAATATTCCTACATGGAAATTCCAAATATTAAAATAACTTAGGCATTCTGAAAATTATTATTATAATCAAAAAAGAAGCGCTAAGCCACAAGGGCTATACAGCGCTGGCATTCTGAAAAATGTTTCTTTATAACAATTACAGATAATATAGGATTGGATGCTAGCCACTAAAAATCTATACCATGAAAAATTTAAAATTTACTTTAAAAAAGAGATATGAAATTTAATGATTAATTTTTCATTCCCAGCCTTATACAAGTAAATTTAATAAAAATAGAACTTGCATCATTGTTTTCAGTAAATTGAAGTAATAAGATTATTAAAAAATTGCAGCAGCTTCTTGTACTAATATAAGATCAGAAAGTTTCCCATACCATTATGAATAGGCTAAGGATTGTATTAATATACTTATCATTAGTACTATCTCTATCACACTGAATGTTCTCAAATTTTATGCAAGGAAATTTGTAGCTAAGGCTATTATTATTCCATATCCCATTTTGGGGAAGCAGCTTAATAAGCAAGACTTGCTAATCTGGAACTTATTATATTGAGATTAAACATCTTAACCCAACTGCAGAGTCAATATTGGCTCTAGTCAGGTAGTCAAGACCTGTTCCTCTTCACCAAGGTATCTTTTAAAATCCTTAATCAGCAATGCAATATCCTGGGTAAAAAAGCATATAATAACAAGAGATAATAAAAATATTGACAAAAAATGAAGTGATGAAAAAAAGACAGGTGCAGAGTATATCTATATTGTGACAATGCTTTGCTCTGCACAAAGCAAAACATCACAATAAAATCTTGCTGTGCAACTGTGTCTTTGCTTCATTACTGTAGGCAGTACACCTTTGTTTCCAGGATTAAGTAATATATGATAGCCAGTGGTAATTTAGGGTCAGCGAGACGGACAGGAGGAAGTTGCAGACTTGTTGGTGTTAGAAGAGAGGGATGAGAAACCACTCTGGCATGACTGAAGGCTAGTCATAGAACCCCTGTGAAAGGCAAATGGTATGAATTTCAAGAATCAAACAATTGACCTTCAGTACAACTGTAACCTGCAAATACACACAGACGAAGGTTTCTCTACACATTCTATCTTTAGATCTATTCTAATAGAGGTATGTCAATTTTTCACCTCTCAATTTACTGTTCTATAAAGTTTGTCTCTTAAAGTTCTTCACATTTCTGCAACATCTTAGCAAAATTTCAATTACACATCTATAACTTATGAATATAGTGCTTACATGCATTGTTTATAACAATATAGTATCTTCAGAAGGCATCTATAGTATTGTACAGGAGACTGAACATATGAAGGCTGAGTGGATACCAAGAGTAGAACATTTGCAAAAATGTCAAAAAATGCTAAAATATCTTTGGTAAATTATTAATGTTAGTATGGCCTGGTAAAGGAAGCACAGACCTTAGTACCATTTTTAACACCCATGTCACATCTACTAATCTCTCTATGTCAATTTACTGTGTTCAATTTCCATTGTTTGTTCTAAGTTATCTATGTTGTGTGTATTTTAAGATCTCTGATCTCTGCTTCTTAGCCCTTTCACAGCTTATTTGAGGGAGCTGTGCTTAAAATGTAGATATACATGACAGCCAATGAAAGGGGTTAAATCCAGTAATCAACTGTACAACTTTGTCCAATATTGCCATTCTTCCATACTCTGACAAAATGTGAACAAATGTATTTGACAAAGTGCTTTATTTATTACCTAGCTTGTATTTTGAACATGCAATTCACTCAGATTATTCTCATTAGCTTTAATGTAAAATGGTTATGGAAACAATCTTCCCGTATTCAGAAACTTTTGGTAAATTCCATTAAAATGTAATTACATTTATTCAAATAATTTGTTCTAACCTCCAATAGTCTTAGCTATTACACTACACACCAGGCATTACTTATAATATTTAGTGCTTAGTTTTGATTGTAATAATAATTACTCACAATAAACCATATCCAATAGTGTAAAAAAAAAAAAATACTGTAAGTAAAAAATTTCTGTACAGAATTATATTCAAATAACTTGAGTTTCAGAGAGTCCTTACCTGTAGTCAGCTGATTTAAGCATCTCAAAGTAGTACATAATCTTAGACTTTGGTGCTGTTATGGAATCAATTATATCAAGTGGAGATGTGTGCTGACTTGATTCATAATAATGCCATTGCAGTATGTATGTGCCCATGTGAGACGTAACATGGGAACCCTATAAACAAGAAAAATTATGTAAGAATTTTTTATGCTATTCCAATGCAAATTAATATAATACTGTATATAATATTTGTAGTAGATTGGTAGACAGCAACCGCCCAGGGAGGTACTACTGTCCTGCCAAGTGAGTGTAAAACGGAAGCCCGTAATTGTTTTACACAATGGTAGGATTGCTGGTGTCTTTTTTTTCTGTCCCATACACATGTAAGATTTCAGGTACATCTTCCTACTTCTGCTTACACTTAGGTCACACTACACATACATATACAAGCATATACAGTGGACCCCCGGTTAACGATATTTTTTCACTCCAGAAGTATGTTCAGGTGCCAGTACTGACCGAATTTGTTCCCATAAGGAATATTGTGAAGTAGATTAGTCCATTTCAGACCCCCAAACATACACGTACAAACGCACTTACATAAATACACTTACATAATTGGTCGCATTCGGAGGTGATCGTTATGCGGGGGTCCACTGTATATATATATATACACACACCCCGGGTTCTTTTATTTTCTTTCTAGTTCTTGTTCTTGTTTATTTCCTCTTACCTCCATGGGGAAATGGAACAGAATTCTTCCTCCGTAAGCCATGCGTGTTGTAAGAGGCGACTAAAATGCCAGGAGCAAGGGGCTAGTAACCCCTTCTCCTGTATATATTACTAAATTAAAAAAGAGAAACTTAGGTTTTTCTTTCTGGGCCACCCTGCCTTGGTGGGATATGGCCGGTTTGTTGAAAAAAAAAAATATAGCTTATGATCACTCACGTTATCAAGAAACAGCAAAAGTAATAAAGGTACAGATGTCTTGTATAGCAGAGATGTGAACTTACATATGCAGTCAGTGGGTTGTTTAACCCCTTGACTGTCGCAACCCCCAATCTTGAGGTGTCGCAAAATTTAAAAAAAAAAAATTATTTTTTCTTATGAAATGATAGAGAATCTTTTCCCGATTGTAATGACACCAAAAAAAACGAAATTTGACGGAAAACTGACGGAATTACGCTCTCGCGAAGTTAGCGACCTCAGCGATATTTACAAATCGGCGATTTCGCCCACTTTGAGCCCTATTTTCGGCTAATTCCATTGTTCCAGTCGACAAAACTCATAGCTACTTCTTTAGAACTCCGTTTTTTCTATCGATTGAGTACAAGAAACTGCCCATTTACTAATTTCAACTACCCAATAATGTGGTCAGAAATTTGCAATTTGGCCAATTTCACAAAATTTAAAAAATATGACAATTTCAAAATAAGGTCTAGAATGAACAATGCAGACATTTCTGGCTCTAAAATAACATTTTCTTTGTTCATCAGTCATGTCTCCAGGCCCCTCTGATATTACTCCTGCTTTCTATTTTGAATTTTTATTCAAACAAAAAATAGAAAATTTACTATTATGCAAACTACTGCAATACTGTAATAATTGTGTAAATAACATCAACCCATTCATGACTGCATATTAGAATGGCTAGTTGGACATTTATTGGACAATGGCATCAATTGTTTACTTTTGAACATCGGCAAAAATCGAACATTTCCCCTACTTTGAGCTCCATTTCCAGGTTCTTTTTATAGTAAAATTAATCAAAATCACCTCTATTTCTATAATATGTTTTCCATTCTATCAAATGAGACCAAGAAAACGAGAATACAACCATAAATACTATACGAAAATAGATCACAAAGTCGGCATTTTAATTAAAAAAAAAGGTCCGAGTTTTTTTTCTCATTATGCACTGCGTGTTCCAGGATTTTTTTTATATGGTGCACACTGACCACACAGACCCATTCTCTCACATGTGGGCCTACCAGCTTTCTCTTCCTTGATTTGAAGCTGCTAGAATTTATGAGTATATATACGTCAAACACGGTACCTCGTAAGACGTATATATATACGGCCGCGACAGTCAAAGGGTTAATACCTCACTCCCTAAGTGTGTACAATATATTTTAAATGTTCTTAAATTTTTAGTCAGGTCACATGTTGGGTAAAATAAAGATATATCAGGTAAAAGAGTGACATGTCAGGTAACGGAATTTGTCAATACAGTTCATAATCCTCACAAATTTTATAAATGAATCTAATTTATATACTCTTAGATTTATATTCAAATTAATCAGTATTATTTTTCATGAAACATGTTTCTATTCAGAATTCTTCCTCCGTAAGTCATGCGTGTCATAAGAGGTGACTAATATGCCAGGAGCATGGGATTAGTAACCCCTTCTCCTGTATACATTACTAAAGTTAAAAAGATAAACTTGTTTTTCTTTCTGGGCCACCCTGCTCTGGTGGGATACGGCCAGTTTGTTGAAAGAAGAATGTTTCTATTATAGTTCCTTCAGCCAGTGATTAACTTGCTACAATTTTCTTAGCTTTTTGACAGTAATTAAAATCTCATTAATATTAATGAAGTTATCCAGTTCTAATGCCAGGCATTGGAATTGGATAAAAGTCTCATGCTCTCCTCATTCATGTAACTGATTTTTACCACCCCAATGATTTTTCAAAAAGCTAATAAGTTTGTAACAAACAAAAAATCATTGGTTAAATGAAATAGAACCATTTCACCATTTCATTATTTCACAAAAAATAATGCCAATTACAATTTATATAAGTCTAGAATTATAAAAGTTAGATTTGTTTATAATACATAAAATCTGTAAGGATTATGAGTTATAATGACAAATTCCCCTTTACCTGACAGGTCACTCTTACCTGACATGTGACCTGACAAAAAATTTCAGAACAGAAATGTATCTCCCATGCTCAGTGAGTGAAGCATCTAACAACCCACTGACTGTATATGTGAGGTTACATCTCTGCAACATAAGACTTTTATAGCTTAATTACTTTTGCTGTATGCTGATATGGGAAATCATGAAAGCAACTGGAATGCTACTATTTTCACTATGGTTTATCTGGAGTATACCTGGAGAGGGTTTCAGGGGTCAATGTCCCTGCAGCCCAGCTATCTCCCATGGAGGTAGGCTAACTCAAAAAAGGAAAAAGCACTTTCACCATCACTGTCTTGTCAGAGGCATGCTGATACTACAGGTCAGATGCACCTCAAAATTGCAATATCCACATCCCTCCTTCAGAGTGCAGGTACTGTACTTCCCACTTCCAGGATTCAAGTCCAGATAATTGGTTTCCCCAAATTCCTTCATAAATGTTACTATGCTCACACTCCAACAGCATCTAAAATAATAAAAAAAAACATCACATACAAACCCCTCCTTTACCTCCTCCCTTCAACCTTTCCTAGGATGACCCCTACTCTGCCTTCCTTCCACTATAGAAACATATACCTTGCAAGTCATCCCATTTTGTTCCATTCTCTCTAAATGTTCAAACCACCTCAACAACCTCTCTTCAGCTCTCTGGATAATTCTTTTAGTAATCCCACACCTTTTTCTAATCTCCAAATTACGAATTCTCTGCATAATATTCACACAACACATTGCCCTCAGACATAACATCTCCACTGCCTCCAGTCTTCTCCATGCTGCAATATTCACAATCCATGCTTCACACCCATTCTTATTTTGGTACCACTATACTCTCATACAGTTCCCTTTTTGCCTCCATAGGTAACAGTCTTTGTTTCCACAGATGCTTCAATGCACCACTCACCTTTTTTCCCTTGTCAATTCTATGATTCACTTTATCTTTCACAGACCCATCTGCTGGCAAGTCCACTCCCAAATATCTGAACACATTCTGATATCCAATCTTTCATTATCTAAATCATTTGTTACCCATCACCTTGCTCTTTCCCATGTTCACTTTTAATTTTCTTTCTTTTATATACTACTGTCACAAATTCGTCCACCAACCTTTGCAATTTCTCTTTCAGAATCTTTCAAAAGCACAGTGTCATCAGCAAAAAGTAACTGTGACAACTCCCATTTTGTATTAGATTCTGCATATTTTAATCCCACATCCCTTCCCAATACCCTAGCATTCATTTCTTTTACAACCCCATCCATAACTATACAGTGGAACCTCAATTTTCGTCATTAATTCATTCCAGAAAGTCTGATGAAAACCGAATTCAATGAAAACTGAAGCAATATTTCCCATAAGAAATAATGTAAATCCAATTAATCTGTTCCAGACACCCAAAAATATTAACAAAAAAATACATTTTATAGAGAATAACTATAGTTTTACATACAGAAAACAATGAGAAATAAATATAAAGGACTAATGAAATGGATAAATGAACATTTAACATCGCTTTTACTTTTACTGAAGACTCTTGTTGGTGTATGGAAGACATCGAGGAGGGGAAAGGGAGGAGAGGTTACCTCTACCACCATCACTACCACCCTCTACCACAATCACTACCACCCTCTACCACAATCACTACCACCCTCTACCACAATCACTACCACCCTCTACCACTATTACTACCACCCTCTACCACAATCACTACAACCACCCTCTACCACAATCACTACAACCCTCTACTACCATCACAACCACTACTACTCTCTACCACCATCACTACCACCCTCTACCACCATCACTACCACCCTCTACCACCATCACTACCACCCTCTACCACCATCACTACCACCCTTTACCACAATCACTACAACCCTCTGCTACTATCACAACCACTACCACCCTCTACCATAATCACTACCACCCTCTACCACAATCACTACCACCCTCTACCACAATCACTACCACCCTCTACCACCATCACTACCACCCTCTACCAACGAGAAACAAAGCCAGGCTGACTCAGAACGTGTGGGATGCTTTGTGTGGGTGAGGGTGAACACGTTCAGTACAGCAGGCCACTGTCAACTCAACGAAAACCGAGGTGATAAACAAAAACTGGGACAAAATTTTGACAAAAAGAGTTGTCGAAAACCGAATCCGATGAAAACTAGGGCAAACAAAAACCGAGGTTCCATTGTACTAAGGCCTACTTTTACTGGGAAAAAAATTCTCCAGTAAAAGTAGGTCTTAGACTG